TTGTAACGTTTACTAGAGACATTAAAATTTTGAAAGCTATTACTAAAACTGGCCGATATTATTGAATCTCAACTCAACTCGACCGACAGAACTCAACTTGGGAGTTGAATGAACAAAACAACTAACCAGATCATTATTAACAAGAACACAATCAATTAAGGTTTCACTAAAATTCGTAATTCTAGTAGGTTCCGCTACTAACTGCTTAATGCCACATTGTAAAAACATTGCTTTAATTTTCTGAGTGTAGAAACTAGTCATAAACTAGCACTTAAAAAATCCAAATTAAAATCACCAATTAAAATACAATTGACATTACCTTTGTGATGTCCTCTCGTAGGAGTCACTATCCGGATAGCTTTTGGACAGTCAGAGACAGAGTTCAAAATAAAAATAAAACTTTATTGTCTTCCTTAAATTAAATTGACAAAAATCTTATGTACATATTTACAATTTGGTTTAGTCTTCTCAGTACCTGGCCTATTTATTCAAATTAAGTTTGACCTTGCCATATGAAATTAGTCTTATCAGCAAGCGAGTGTGTTTTTGAAATTTTACGTGAACGTTGTATCGATTTAATAACAGCGGACGATAGGTACAAAGAACGGAAAGGAACTCAACACGTCCCTTAAGTGATTCGGGTTAATAGGACACTCCTCGACAGTCTCAACACGACTGCTTCAGAGTACGGGTAATGAAGAGCTCAACACGCTCTTCGGGTAACGGCGGAATGGAACGGAACAACTTGTGAACTCAACACGTCCACAAGCCGGGGTAGGGAAGAAGAGAACCTTCAGTCAACACCTGTCGATTCTGCCTCTATGAGGAAATATTGCGGTTTATATAGCGGAGCTTGGTAATTAGTTTTTCCCTTTCTACTGTCGATACACTCCTACTTCATGGGTTGGTTCGCGCGCACGCTGGTTTAACGGTGACGGCTTGGACTCATCGTTACACCTTTAAATAATTCATCAAAAATCTGCTCTAAGTTATCTAAAAATACTGCATCAGATCTAGAAGGTGAATGATACATGCCACCCAAAACAATCTTTTAAGAACCAATATTATTTTAGGACATTGTTGGATATAGTTATATGATAGAGATACGTTGGATAATATTAATCATTCTGTAGGAACTATCTTCTTCCTTAGCTTATTTTGTTATTCACTATGATTTTTGATAAATTTGTCTTCTAATGTTTCTTTAAATAAATAAATACATATTCGATTATCAGCAATTTTCGAATAGAATAACATATTTTTTGAAAGGATAATAAGATAATCGTCTAATTTGACATTTTCTAATGAAATAAGTAAATACAAGTGCTTTCTGAATGTTAAAATAAAAGTACTGATAAGTGATAACTATTGAGTATATTTTATTTACATAAGTGTAAGTTGTGACGTAGAAGTCATTTCTTGAGCTAAATAAATAAATTTGGAAAACTGTACTGAGTGCTGTCCACAACTATAAAAAGCCAATTAAGCCGGTAATAGTTGAGATAGATGGAAAGACTTATTATTCAAGGAAATGTAGAAGGCCGAAGATCACGAGGAAGATCTCAAATGGATCGACAAATTACAGGAATATGCAGAAGAACTTTTGCATGAGTTAAAAGAAATGACCAGAAATAAAAATAGATTCAACAGAAGAGAGAGGCAACATTCTTTCTCCGGTTGCCGACAAGAATGTAGCGTCGAATAATTTTAAACTGTTTATCCTTGTTTAGTACAGTGTTATGTACAATTTATGTTTAATTTCATGTTATTACATTCTGCGATTGCTGGATAGTCCAAATTTGACGAAATGCCCTGATGATGCTTTAGAAAGCGAAAGTACTTGGGCAAGTTTTGATTAATAAAATTGTGCTCGATATCTGCCTTTAATTTTTCAAAGGTCATTTATTCGAGCATTCGACCTTATATCAAAAAAAGTTATCTTCATCGTGTCAATTTTCTTATTTCGATCAGATTCTATATCGAAATTGGTATCAGAATCGTATTCTTGAATCTTCTTCCTCTTTATAAGCATTTCTGCATCTTTTGCGTGGTCGTCCGATACTTCTACCGATTGGTGATTTATCCCTCATTCTGCTTATTCCATTCTTTTTTCGGTTTAGTGTCCATTCGTTTATACACTGTACATTACATCTGCTTCTAATGTCTTCACTACTCTTTCGATCTCTCAGCGTATTTCCTGTAATTGTTCTTAGTAATCTCATCTCTGCCGCTTCCACTAGTCTTAATGTTGTGGCTGTGTCGGGTCTTGTTTCTGATGTATATGTCTTAGATTGGCTTTATAAATTCTTGACTTCATATATATTCAGGGATTCTACAGTATTCACTGTCTTCCCTCGCTCAACCGTTTCCATCTCTCTCTCTCTCTCTCTCTCTCTGTTGTCCCATTCTCCATCGTTTCTTCTTCTTCTTCAAGTGCCGTCTCCATCAATGGAGGTTAGCGGTTATGGTGGCAAACGTTTGTCTATCTTCAGCTGCTCTTAAGAGTTCCTCAAATCCAAGTCCTGTCCAGTTTCTGATATTACGTAGCCAGGACAATTTTTTTCTTCCAATTCCTCGCTTTCCTTCTATTTTGCCTTTTATTATCAACTGAGGGATGTAGTATTTCTCGTTGCGCAACAAATGCCCTAAATAACTGGTTTTTCTTCTTTTGACTGTTCTCAATAGTTCTTTTTCTAAATTGAGTCTAGCTAGTACTTCTTCATTTGTTTTTCGTGCTGTCCAAGGAATTTTTAAAATTCTACGGTACAACCACATTTCAAATGCCTCGATTCTATTCAGGCTCTTTATTTTTAAAGTCCACGTTTCGACTCCGTAGAGAAGAACAGACCAGATAAAACATTTTACAAGTTTTAATCTCAATTTAATATTTATATGTGTATCGCAGAATAGAACGCGCATCTTAAAGAAACTATTCCTAGCTTGAGCAATTCTCGCTTTAATTTCTTGTTCTGGGTCCAGCTTGCAATTAATCCAACAGCCAAGGTATTTGTATTGGTTTACCTGTTCTAAAATATTCCCATTTATTTTTATAGGTAAGGGGATATTCTGTTTTCTTTCGATCACCATTACTTTTGTTTTTTTTTTCGTTGATCTTCATTCCAAACTCTCGACAAGCATCCTTAAGGTGGTCTATAACCCTCTGTAAGTTTGTGTCTGTATCAGCCAGTAGGACAGTGTCATCTGCATATCTTATGCTAGATATTGGTTCTCCATTAATTTTTATTCCTGTGGAAAGGTTTTCCAAGGCTTGCTTGAATAGTAGTTCCGAGTAAAGATTGAACAGCATAGGGGATAGTATGCATCCTTGCCTTACTCCTTTATTTATACTAATATTTCTAGATGTATGATCGTCGATCCTAATCTTGGCACTCTGCCTCCAATATAAGTTCTTAATTAATCGGAGATCTTTACTATCCAAGTTGATGCTCTGCAAGGAATTTAACATTTTATTATGGTTTAAGCGATCAAATGCCTTTTCAAAGTCTACAAAACATAGAAAGACATCCTTTTGTTGGTCGTAACACTTCGGCAGCAGTACTTGTAATGAAAACAAGGCCTCTCTGATCCCCATTCCGGCTCTGAATCCAAATTGATCGTATCCAACTTCTTTTTCACACCTTTTGTATACCCTATTGTGAAGTATTTTTAATAGAATTTTAAGCACTTGGCTCATAAGACTTATTAATCTAAAATCTGCGCATCGCCTGGAGTTAGCTTGTTTTGGAATGGGAATAAAAATAGATTCTAACCATTCCTCTGGTATTTCCCCAGTATCGTAGATTGTAATAAACAAAATTACTAACAAATCAATGTTATTACTTTCGATCAATTTAAGTATTTCAGGATAAACTTCATCAGGTCCAGGGCTTTTGTTGGTCTTTAATTGTTTAATGGCATATTCCACTTCGACTTTTAGAATTGGTGGGCTTTCAGTAACATTATTTATTGTAATGTCTATTCTTTCATCTCGGAACAGCTGTTGTATAAATTTTTCCCATTCTTCTATTTTATCTTTGGTGTTATGAATTAACTCTTCGTTGTTATTTACCAGTGGGCAATGTTGTTTTTTGCGGATGAATGAAAATTCTTTCACCTTCTTGTACATATTAAAGTAATCATGTCTATGTTCTAATTCTTCTATTTCTTTACATTTTTCTTCGAGCCATTTCTCTTTTGATTCTTTTATTTTCCTTCGTATTTCTGTATTTAATCGTTTGTAATCGCTTGTGTTCTTATTTTTGTATTTCCTCCTTTCGTCTATCATCTTTAGAATAGCTGGTGTCATCCAGTCTTTTTTGCCATTAATCGTTTTAGGCCTCTCTTACTCATGGCGTCGTCTACTTAGTTCCTCCAGGATCTTCGGGGTCGTCCTCTTTTCCTCCTTCCTATGGGGCTCTAGTCGGTTATTCTCTTTATCCATCTGCTGTCGCTAGTTCTTCTTACATATCCATACCACTTTAGTCTTTTTTGTTCTATATATGTTAGTATGTCTGTTTCTATTGATGTTCTTTGCTTTATTTCGTCATTACGTCTCCTATCCATTCTTGTTACTCTGCAGCATCTTCGCAGGTATTTCAAGTCCAATTTTCAGCCCCATATGTCATAATACTTCGCACTAATGTTTTATAAATCTGTGTTTTTGTCTTCATATTTAGGTGTCTATCCCACCATACTGAGTTAAGTTGTCGGATTGTTGTTCTTGTTTGTCCTAATCTTTGTGTAATTTCTTCCTCTGTTGTTGCCTTTTTCGTGATTATAAACCCCAAGTATTTGAATTTATCCTTTTCTTTGATTATTACGTTCTCATTATTACGATTAATCTCAAAAATAAATTCTAGACCCAAAAGCTGACAGGATACAAAAGTTTTAAGTTCTGACATGACCGAATATGAGTAAATTACTATTGCTTTTTTAAATGTCGAACTCTATGAGTTCCTACTTGAACATGTGAGCGAGTTTGAGTGAGAGAAAAACAATATAAAAAAACGAAGATATATTTCAACAAAAAGAGTAAACAAAACGTAATAAACATATTGTCACAGTAAAGTATTTGAATGTTTATTGGATTTCTTGAATACACATTACCTAAAAACAGTAACATATTGGTAACCAGTATAAATCTTCCTTTATCCCATTTTTAACACAATAAAACAAAACATCTATCGTATATCTACATTAAATTACATTCTGAGTTAGCTTGTCCCGGATTGGGGAAATTCATAGGATTTCCTTGGGGATCAAAACTAAATGGGGCTTCTAAATCTCCTACTAGTTCAGAAGGAGGTTGTCCATAATCTTGAAGCTGTAATGTAATTAAATTTATATTAAATCGACATTTTATAGAACCGACGTTAAAGAAAATCTTTTGGTCTATACTCGAAATATATTTTATGATTTTTACATTTAACGAAACACAATAAAGGTGAGGACGACGTTTACTTTATATAATTTCATTAGAAGTAGATCTTGTGGCAACAAAGCTAAAATAACTTCTATGTGGTTATACTTCTTGGCATAAGTTACAATATTAATTATACGTCTCTCTAATTCAAAAAGTTACTATATGGATCTACAGCTAGGAAGAAAATTTTGACGATTTCGATAATGACACTTCTCTTTTTAGACTGGCTTAGATTTCAAATTACCACAAAATTCGTAGTGATTATTTTATTAAAGCATTGGCCTGAAATTTTGCGCATACGCTCTTAATATTTTGCTTATAGACAACCAAATTTCGACTATAGTTTTTATAGCATAAACTTAGATTTAAAACATAGGTTTTAAATGTCAAATAATTTAAGGTGAACTTGAATAAAATTAATAGCGCACTTTCCAATAGAGTTATTAGGTATGATGAAGAAGTTTGGTAGGGACTGAAGAAAACAATTCTGCTTTAAGAAATTAATACATCAATATAATAAAGCGATCATTTTGAAAAAAACATAAAAACATACACAGAAGAAATCGTTGAAGATTATCAATGCGGATTTAGACCGGGCCGCTCTACTATTGACCAGATATTCACAATAAAACAGATAATGGAAAAATGCTGGGAGTTTGATAGTGAGCTTCATCAGATGTTCATAGATTTTAAACAAGCATTCGATAGAGTATGCGGGGACAGACTGTGGACAGCGATGCAGGAACGTAGCTTTCCAAAAAAACTAGTCAGGTTGATTTGGATGTGTATGAAACGGTTACGATGTAAGGTGCGAGTTGGACAACAATACTCGGAGACATTTGAAATAAACAATGGACTAAAACAGGAAGATTCACTTTCACCACAACTCTTTAACTGAGCTCTCGAGCACATAATCAAAAGTGCAAGAATCGAAAAACCCAATACAGTATTTCATCAGGAAGGACCAAACTTACTACTGGCATTTGTAGATGATATCGATCTAATAGGAAACACACGATTAAGGATGAAAGAGACTTTCGTGAGGTTCGAGAAGGAAGCAGAGAAGATGGGGCTCTAAATCAACGAAAACAAGACGAAATATATGTATATGGTCCTCAATAACCAAAGCAGAGACAGAATCGGTCAAAACATCACCATCGATGACTTTAACTTTGAGCGCGTTAGAGAATTCAAGTATCTTCGAACAACAATAACTGAAGACAATAACGGATCACAAGAAATAAACAACAGGATTCAGGCCGACAACAGATGTCTTTTAGCCCTCCAAAACCTTATAAAATCGAAACAACTAACACGACGTACTAAGATACAGGTCTATAAAACAATCATACGACCCGTTGTGATGTATGGAAGCGAAACGTGGACGATAACAAAGGCAAACGAAGAGAGACTATGTGTTTGGGAAAGAAAAATCCTAAGGAAGATCTTTGGTCCTGTGCTGGATGAAGCATCAGGGCAATATAGGATAAGAACTAACAAAGAGCTCGAAGAACTTTACTCAGACGCCAACATCATAAAAGAAATAAAGTCCAGAAGACTCCAACGGGCAGGACACCTCAGAAGACATTCTGACGAACGAACAGTAAGACTGGTGTGGGAGGAAGTCCCAACTGGAAGGAGACCACGCGGACGTCCTCGTCTCCGGTGGCGAGATAATATAGCAGGAGACCTAAGCACTATGGGCGTGGAGAATTGGATGGAGGTTGCTCAAGACAGAAAACAGTGGAGGCATGTTGTCGAGTCGGCTAAAACCCACGAAGGGTTGTAACGCCACGGAGTAAGTAAGTAAGATCATTTTGATAATGTTTTGTTTAACTTTTCATATAAAAAAAATATATTGTGTGCTACTCATACCGAGTAAGCTTTTAAACCTCTTAAAAATATATCAAAACTAGATGTGGCTAACTACCCACCAAAAAAAAAGAATAGTACATAAAATTAATTTAATGGAAATCTGCCTAATCCATAATATGAATTTAATGAAAATCAAATAATAATGAAAGTATGATAATAATGAAAAACAAAAACAAAAAGATATGAATAACTATTCTAATACTCACATAAACTAACTTACCTTTTGCATAAGGCCCAAAACTTTAGTAAATCTCTCTGACTTAATCTGAGTAGTATCTTCTTCTGTTTCTTTATTCAACTCTCCTATTACTTCCTCCATGAGTTTCTTTTGGTTCTGATATCGCTCGATATCGTTTTTATCTAGAGTATCTTTATTTTTTTCGATATATTCTGGTAATCTCTGCACAAAATCTTCTAGGCTCGGTCCTAATACTTCTTTGGACAATAGGCCTTGCATCATACCTAAAAAACAAATGATAAATATTTGGAGTTAATAATACCTTCTGTATTATTTGCATATAGTATATTTATTAAAACAAAAATCCAGATTTTAATCTGTGCTCCATACTAACTGCAGTCATGGGAAGACATAAATTTATTTTCCTTCTTAATTGGAGTTACAACATTTTAAAAATCAAGGGATTTTTCAAAAAAATATATTGACACTCAAGAAATTTGTTAAAAAATGTTTTTACATGGTTGGAAATACCACATGGTTATAAGGTTTGACATGGCTGTGGGAAAAACGTAAGTTAACTTTCGTAAGATCAATTTTGTTATCGTATATATATATATATATATATATATATATATATATATATATATATATATATGTATATATATATGTATATATATATATGTATATATATATATATATATGTATATATATATATATATATATATATATATATATGTATATATATATATATATATATATATATATATATATATATATATATATATATATATATATATATGTTCGGATAGATTTCCGCGGTCAGATGAATGAAAATTACTAGGTTCTTGGGAAGAACCGCGTTGAGAATTTAATGCTCAATTAGAGAGCCTTAAATTCTTAACGCGGTTCTTCCCGAGAACCTAGTGATTTTCATATATATATATATATATATATATATATATATATATATATATATATATATATATATATATATATATATATACCATCCAATAAGTATCTTGTTCTTCTTCATGTACCATGTCCTTTCAGAACGTTGGTTAAAATCAAAGCTATCTTAATTTTATTCACTTCACTGCCACCCTAAATAGCATGTTTTTATTATTACCATACCATTCTCATAATCTCTTAAATCTCTAGCAATCAATATTTGGGACTTCTCATTACATGTCCGAAGTACTTCAGCTTTCTCTTCTTGATGCTTTTTATAATCTCAGTAGTCTTGCTGTGACGTTCTAGTATTGTGGAGTTTCGAATCTTGTCCACCAAAGTAACTTTTAAAATTCTTCTATAGCACCACATTTCAAAAAGCTCAAGGCGATTTAGATCACTTTTATTCACACTAGACACCATAAAATAAGCCTAAGAACACGTAGCAGCCAAGTAAGAGGATCCACAATGCCAATTTTACGTCCCTGCTACACAATACCTTGGACATCCTTCTAGAAGCGGCTCTGGCCTGCTCAATTCTGGATCTAATTTCACCGGGACTCTCTGCGTTAAAGTTTAACTGATATCAAAGGTAAACAATTTAATAAACTTGCTTAAGTTTGATATTATTTAAGTATATATACAGACAGTTTTATATTCTGTTGTTTCCTTATTACGAGTATTTTAGTTTTATGTTCAGATTAAGACCTGCTTCCTTACAGCTCTCAACGACAATGTCAAGTAATGTTTACAGATCTTCTTGAGTAGATGGTACGAGCTGTGTCGTCTGCATATCGCAAATTATTGATGACTTCATCATTCAAAATTCTTGTTTTTCAGAGAGTGCATATCTAAAAATTCTTTCGGAGTAAATGTTAAAGAGCAGGGGCCACAAGAGGCATCCCTTACTCCTCTTTTAATATTAAGAGTTTGTGATTCCAAACTGTCTACTAAAACTGATGTTTGATTCCAATACAAATTTGCAATTATGCGAACGTCTATGCCATTCAAACCAATGTCTCTTAGAACTTCAATCTTCTTAGAATCAATATAGAGTGCTTCTTAATCCGATTAAATGCCTTTTGAAAGTCCATAAAACAATAGTACATGTCTACATATATATTCACATCTTTGAGCAAGTACATTTATTCCAAACAATGCCTCCCTCGTTCCAAACCCGTTACGGAAACCAAACTATGTGTCACTGTCTTATTTATTTATTATAGGTATTTTTCGCATTTATTATAGATACGACCAAGTATTACCTTAAGAAAAATTTTCAATAAATGGCTTAACAAACTGATGGTTCGGTAATCAGCACAGGTTTTGCTGTTGTCTTCTTCAGGAGAGCTATGAACAATGAATTGGACCAACCATTAGGTAGGTGTCAGCTGGTATAAATAGTATTAAGAAATGAAGTTATGCCTCTAAAACATTGCTATTATTTATAAGCTTGTATATTTCACTTTCATCAGGAATTCAACTTGTGAATTTCATCAGGACCTGTAGCTTTGCCATTTTTTGATGATTGTATGGCTCGTGTTACCTCAGAGCGTGTTATTATATATTATTATTACAGTTAGTAATATCCGAAGGTGAACTAATCCTATCGTCTTCGAATAGGTTCGTAATGTAATTTTCTCATTCTTTACGTTTGTCTAATTCAAATATTACTTTACCATGTAGCAGTGCAGTTTGTCTCTTATTGAAGATACCAGCAGCTTCTTTCACTTTTTTATACATGTTAAACGTGTCTTATCTATTTTCGAGTTCTTCAATTTCATGACAATGTTTGGCTTTGGATGTTGACTCTTTGCTTCTCGTATTTTACGTCGAATTTCTTTTTGTATAAAGTTTTTCGTTGGTTTTTTATATTTGCTGTTGCACCATTAAATCCAATATGTTTTCTGTCATCCAAGCCTCCTTTTTAAGCTTTGAACTGCCTTTTAAATTCCCTTTCATAGATTTCCTTAACTGCCGTTATAATTTTATTTAAGTCCTCATCGACATTCTCACCACTATTTCCCCAAACTAAATTTTCGTTCAGTTGTCTTTTAACCGTTTTCTTTACTTTCTCGTTGGCTTATATCAATTATTGCGAGACTTCCTTTTGACCACCTTTTTTAATTTTAACTAGGTTACAGCTTCTATGGGATTGTGATCAGACCCAATGTCAGCAGCTGGATAAGTTTTAGCTAATTTACTACAGTTTCTAAATCAATTTTTTATTCGAATGAACTCAATTTGGTTCCTAATAATTTTATTCTCTGATTCTACATTTGACTTCCAGGTGTAGAGTCTTCTCGGTGGTAATTTGAAGTGAGTATTCGATATAATGAAATAATGTTCTTGTACAATTTCTTTCTTTAATCCAGAATTTACTGGAATACTAATGAAAAACTCAACATTAAAATATTTCCTATCCCAACACAAGATTAAAAAAAAAAAGAACTTTAGGCACATTATTGTTACATTACAACATATTACAAGTCTTTTTAAAAAAGAAAAACTTTTATGTCTACATTTTTATCATTAATTACTTTATTACCGTATTATTTTTAACGTTATATTATAAGTGGAATAACACGATTACAAAAATAGGCTTATACTTTTACAAGTTTGGCACTGATGAAATTAGTACTGAGAAAATATTGATTCCAGTTTTTTTTTATTTTTAGAAGAAAACTATTTATGGTAGACTAGGCTGAAGATTATTGACTGCCAAAAAATTTGAATTGAAATTATTTAATAGTTTCTATTAACTTGAAACTTCTAAAAACTTTTTAACAAAAATTCAATTATATTTGTTAAAAAAGTTTTTCAAAACTACTAAATTTAGAGAAATATTCATTGGATATTTTTTAAAACGGTTTTTTAATATGTTTACCAGTTTAGATTTAGTAACAAAACTAATTTTATTTGAAGCTCTTGAAAAAGATTGTAAACAAAATTGAAAGCTTGACATAAAGAATAGTTAACCAATAGCCCCTTTTATTGACTCCAATCCATGAAAAACACACACACACACACACACATATATATATATATATATTATATATATATATATATATATATATATATATATATATATATATATATATACATATATATATATATATATATATATATATATATATACATATATATATATATATATATATATATATATATATATATATATATATATATATATATATATACATAAACATAACAGGAGGCGAAACGAAAGTAAACATATGAACACAAATGATAATTCCCAAAGATTGATTACATTCGCAACCGAAAACAGGATGAAAATAATGAGTACGCATTTCAGGAGAAAAAAAAATATAAACAAAAATATAACATCTTAATACAAGAGAAGTTGTAACAATAAAACACTGAAAACAAGAGAAGTTCGTCAATTTAATAACAAATGTGAAAACCTGCAGATGGTTTGATGTAAACCTTGATCATTTTTTGGTTAGAATTAATATGAGAGAAGCAATAATTAAAAGCATAAACGGAAAAAAAGTGCAACGTAAATTTAATTTAAAAAAACTGCAAAAATTCGAGGTAATACAGGATTATCAAAAGGATATACAAGAAACCTATGCCAAACAAGATAGTACTACTGTGAGTAACATATAACAAAAGTTCTAGAAAATGACAAACACTATAAAGGAAGCAACGTCGAAGAACATACCAAGAACAAAAAGATTAAGATAAAACCACTGTAGAACAGAGTTAAAAAAAGATCAGATTTGAGATTAAAAATTAACGACCTCGACGACCTAGAAAAATATGCCGAACAATGAAAAAAAGTAAAGAGAATCCTAAGGGAGCGTAAACGAAAGTATATGGATGATAAAATAAAGCGCATTGAAGAAAATTACAAGAAAAATGAAATAAAAATTTTTCACAAAGAGGTAAAATACATTAAAACTGGGTACCAGGGAAGAACGATGGATGTTAAAGATAAGCAAGAAAACCTGATAGTGGACGAAGACCAAATATGTGAAATGTGGAAAGAATATTACGAAAAACTGGTTAGAATTAATATGAGAGATGCAATAATTAAGAAGCATAAACGGAAAAAATGCAAAAAAATAAAGTGCAACCTAAATTTAATTTTAAAAAAATTCGAAAATTTGAGGTAGTTTAGAATTATCAAAAGTTATATCCTTTTGACACCAAAAAACCTACACCAAACCAGATAGTGCTACTGTGAGTAACATACAACACAAGTTTTTGAAAATGACAAACTCTATACAGGAAGTAACGTCGAAGAACATACTAAGAACAAAAAGTTTTAGAGAAAACCACTGATTCTATGACGAATGTAGAACAGAGTTCAATAAAAGATTGATTTGAGATTAAAAAGTTTACGATCGCAAAAACAAGACGACCTATAAAAGTATGTCAAACAACGAAAAAAAGTAAAGAAAATCCTAAAGAAAGTATATGGATGATAAAGTAAAGCGCTTTGAAGAAAATTACAATAAAAACCAAATAAAAATGTTCTAAAAAGAGGTAAAATACATTAAAACTGGGTACCAGTGAAGTTGTATGAGTGTAAACATGGAGTGTAAAAGACAGAAAACAAGTAGATTTGATAGTGGACGAAGACCAAATACGTGAAAGATGGAAAGGATATTTCGAAGAGCTGCTAAATGACGAGTGACTACTATAGAAAATTATAATCAAAAGCCCCAGGGAGAGCGGCATTGTGACAGAGAACTTAAAATGTGGAGGAGAGGCTTTAAGAAACGAACTTCGTGAGCTAGTAGTAGAAGTGAGGGATGCCGAAAAAATGCCTCAAGAATGGAACAAGTCCATTATAGTTCCCGTACACAAATAGGGAGATAGAACAGAATGCGCAAACTATAGAGGAATAACCTTGTTAGTACAAGGACGAATGTACCAATTGTATGCTAACCGTACAATAACAAAAGTAGTGAAAAGACGTAGACTAGAATAGCTCGGACATCTAGAAAGAATGCAAGGTAATAGACAAGTCAAGAATATTGGATAGAGAGTACCTGAGGGCAAAAAAGAGAGGAAGACCCAGAAAGAAATGGAAAGATGTAATGGAAGATATCAGAGAGATGAGAATCTGAAATGGAAAGCTGACAGCTAACAACATAAAACAATGGAAATTATCCATCCAGCAATGGGTGGCCTAAAAGGCTTGTTAATGATATAAATACATAAAATACATCAACCAGGTAAGATACCAATCATATTGTGTTTGTATTGTTATGATCTATAATAGATGTTGGGTGATATTCCTATTAAAATAGAAATACATTTATACACAATCTTGGATTATCTAAACTAATCTGCTGTAGTACCAAATACTGATATACTAGAAAAATATAGAGTAACATAATTAATATACATTAATAGTCTAAAAAATTATAAGTAGAATTAACAAATGAGCATAAATATTTTAATTGTAACTATTTCAGATGTATTACATTTTTCGTACCTTGCATAAAAGGTAGAAGATCATTTTCTTGACCAGTTTTATCCCCAGTAAACATCTTCATTAGTTCTTCCTCATTCAACGGAGCCTGAAGTCCTTCAGCTCCAGCATTTAAAGATTGTATGGCTTGGGTTATAGATGATGCAAAGTCCACGGAATTATCAGCTGCCTGTGTAGGGTTTTCAAGAACTTGTTGAGCGGCATCTGAAATAAATATTATATGCATTATAGTGCACTGCCTAAAAATATGCAAATACATTTTCATTTTATTAATATTTTTAGGTAGCTGAACTGTAACCAATAAAATTGCTGCAGGTAGATACATTTCTGGTCAGTGTCTTTTTAAATCAATGTGATTAAGAATATGGATCCATATTTCCAAAATACAAAACTACTTTTCTGAAGCTAGTCATTGTCAACAAATACAAGACTTGATGAATGGAAAAACAAAGGCACGCTTATAATCTATTGTAATGCCTAATCTATATGCATCTAGAACAGGTGTTCGATGAGTCAGCGACAGTCGATATGTTTCTATAAATTGGTAAAAGTTTGTCGTATGTTTTATGTGCGTATAAGCAGTATTTTATAGAACCTAATAACGAAATTTTACAGAAATAAATGGAACCGTAAATTGAATTCCTGTTATAGTCGATTCACTGATATTGGAATATTTTGACAGTATTTGTTGAAAAAATGCAATATAAAAATTCATATCACTCCTTATTAATAGTTGAAATAAACTTACTGTTGCATGTTGCTTTATTTGCTTAAAAAAGCGTAGTCATGAATAATGATAAGTGTATATTCATTCATTTTGATTAAAATCTTTTTTATATAATATACTTATATATATATATATATATATATATATATATATATATATATATATATATATATATTAAGGATCACTCGAAGAGTGGTGGGTTTTTATGTCAAAAGGTATAGAGAAAAAAAAGACAAAGACTGTGGCTACTTCATCTATTTATTGAAGACGTTTCGCTTTAAAATCAGAAAGCATCATCAGTTTATCTAAAAAGAACAATATGAAAAACCAAACTTCCATCGAAAAGTTATTATAAGTGTGTTATCAAAAAGACATGTAGCAGTCAATGATATTAAATTTGTAAAGAAGCTTACGACATTGGACATTATAAGATTATGTTGTATAAACAATAAATTGAACTAAATACAGTTAACAATTTGCTCAAACTTAGCACAGCAAAATAACATGTGGTAATTGTACATGTATATAGAAATTAGGTAAAAAAACTTAAAAAAGTATAAAACATTAATATGAAGAAGAACTAAAAAGATCTAAGATGCACTTCCAACAGTATATTAATAGTTAAATTTAATTTTAACTTTAGGTAGCATTATTAAAGTGATTAGATTGAAATTTACTAATTTAAAAGTATAATGAAGTTACCACTCTAAGCTTCTAGTCTGCTGCCGGTGAAATAAAGGCAACAAGTATTAACAGCGCCAAAAACGTGAAAAGACAGTGGCCTTGAGGTTAAAATATGACAGAACAGCAAGACGAAATACCAACTCTAATACAATAGAGCGGTTTATTTAAAAAATAGGTTGAGTTTACAGAAAGTACAAGCTGATTATAGCCGCAAATGTCAAACATGGAACAAAAAAATGTTTCAAATCCTTTATAAAAGGTATATAATAAAATGCCCAAACGGGCTATCACAAATATATTACAAAACGTTTTCGGATTGTTAAATCCATCATCAGTGTAAACGAGGTATACATGCTATGAGCCAACAAAATATATGGGTCAAAACCCTTTAAATGATATAAATTTACAGTTGTTTTACATTATATGTGGTTACAAATTATGATGTTTAAGTTACTGTTGGAATTGGTAACATGGCGACGTATGACCCTACATAGGTAAAATGGACCTGAGACGAAGTGTCTTCGAGGACCTGTTGACAACTCAGTTGTTATCAATCTCTCCGGTGATTGAGAGATTTGACATTTTCACTTTTTAGGTTTGACATATGGAACAAGTGGAACAAGTAGGAGTGATATATAAATGTTATTTATTAAATACCAAAAGTAAAAGCTCATATAACGCTAGACTCAATTTTATATAGAAATAAAAGAAAATAATTGGTAGACCTTGGCAGAACTAAAGGGTAAAGTAACAAACAGTAAAGCAAACTAATATAAAATCCGTAAGAAAAGTAATTGAAAAAGTTTGTGTTAATAACCAAGTGCTGTACATAAGTAAATTTTAATAAAATTTAAGAAAATATTCACCAAAAAGTTAGCCTAAAGAGAATTTGGCAAAAGTGTTGACATTCAGTCCATAAAATAATGTTTTGTAGAAGCTGCAGATTAACACTAATGGACAAAGTGAGAAATTAATGAATTACAGAACTAACAAATGTGAAGGAGACATTAAATGACAAAAAAGACAAAAATTATTGTGGTATTGACATATACAGAAAGATGGATGACACAAGAATACCAATGCGAACTTGGAAGTGAAAACCTAATAGGATGAAAAGAGGATGTCCTGGATTACAGTGGAACAGACAAATAACAACAGCAATGGAAAAAAGACATCTCATCAAAGAAGATATATATGACAAGAAGAAATGGCGATGGGGATGTAAAAAGCAAACAGAATCTGCTATGTAAAGTCCTGAATAACTAAGTAAATATTGCTATTTACAAGTTTTATCATTTTTATTAATTTTACCAAAACTGAATGTGAGTATTTCAGTTTTGACAATTTTTGCTGGAATAACTTAAAGTGTTGAATTGAAAATTCTCTGTCTATTAGTTTTATCAATCTAAGACTGGACCGATGGACAAACAGATAGACAGATAAACATAATCTAGAGGATCGAAATTTTATTTCCATATGAATATTTCGATCCAATAAATAATAAATTAAAACTAGTATATTTAGGTGGCAGGATTACTCTTGTTAAATTAATCTTGTAAGTTAAATTTAAAACTGCTGACTGTTATGACACCATAAATACCAAACTGTCAAAGAATTTTGACAAATATTCTTAAACCATTTCTTATTATTATTAACAATTTCCTACACACCTCAGAAGAAATGCAGAACGAAAAAAAAGTTAAAACATTAATTGGTTAAATAAATAAAATCCTGAAATTCTAGTTGTTTTAAAATAAAGGTTAGTATTTTGTGTAAAAAATGAGCAATACAAACAATATAGTTGAACCTTTGTTACTTAAAATAAAGAGGAATATATTTTTAACTTTAAAGTAAGTAGAGGGAAGTTTTAGTATAAAGATTGCAAAATGAGATATCATTGACTTTTTTTTATTCATTTGAAAGGCCTCTAAATGCCATTAAGTATGGAATATAACATCATTCACAATTTATGAATGAAGAAGGAAAATAATTTATTCAGTTCAAATCAGAATGTTTCTTAGAAGTTGGCATTTTGTGTAATACCATGGTATTTACGTTTTTAGTAATTACCACAAAGATGCAGGTGCATGTGAATCTTTATCTGTGATTTTTGAAGTTATACTTCTATACGAACGATCGGCGTTGGAAATTTGCATGAGAGTGAATCTGTGAAACCATTACATTATGTAAGATAATGAGTAAGAGAGAGAGACAGAAGATATATTTTCCCTCTCTTCCTCTCTCGAGAATAAAAGAGAATAAAAATGTTCCTTTTGTATACAGGGTGGTGAATCGTCAAACGGGCCATAGGAAACTCAATGGGAAATTCTAAATTGTTGAATTCCTGCTTCCCTAATTATTTTACACCAAAAGTCATGAGAAACTATTTGTAGAGGACTCAAATATGTCTCGAAAACAACTGTTAAAATTATTCTACGACTTAAACGTATTCCAAAATTTTGCTAAAATATAATACATTTTTCTGTGAAAAAATGTGTATTACGTGTTGCGTTTTGTCATATTATTGTTTCTGATATTTGACAATATTTAAATCAATTATATTACATTTATCTATGATTTAAATAGCCAAAATTTTGTGATTTATTGTTAAAAAAAAAATAAGTTGATTAAAAAATGTACTCAGTTGAGAAGAAAAAAGCAATAATAAAAATGTTTTATTCATGTTTTATTATAACATTTGTTATAGTTTTATGTTTAGAAATTATCATATATTATTATTAGGAATAAAGATCACAATAACAGTATATTGGAATTCATTGAATTGTTGTATAACTTAACTTAACATGGAATTAAATTTTAGTGAATTAGAATATCTTACGTTAAATAAAGATCCGATAGTGGCAGGAAAAGGTTCGCGCTATTGCCTGAATACAACATTATGCGATTTTTCGTCAACTGAGTACATTTCATTATATTGATCGATTTGTAAACAATATAATTTATTGTTCACAAAGTAATAATGTTTATTAGTAGTAGTATTTAGTAAAATTCATTGTTTATAATTTAATCATAAAATAAAAAAATTGACAATTCAAATTGTCAAACATCTGACATAACTATGATAAAACACAAACGTCCCAATATATATTCTTGCATTATGTGTGGCCTAACTTTTAGGGGTGGCCTGAAAAATGATTTATATTTTTGCAAAATTTTTAAGTACATTTGAGTCGTAGAACGGTTTTAACATTTGTTTTTAATTCAGATTTTAGTCCTCTACAAATAGTTTTTTATGACTTTTGATCTAAAATAATTAGGGAAGCAGCAATTCAACAATTTAAAATTTCTCATTGAGTTTCCTATGGTCCGTTTGACGATTCACCACCCGGTATATATATATATATATATATATATATATATATATATATATATATATATATATATATATATATATATATATATATGTCCAATGAATTCCAATATACTGTTACTGTGATCTTTATTCCTAATAATAATATATGATAATTTCTAAACATAAAACTATAACAAATGTTATAATAAAACATGAATAAAATATTTTTATTATTGCTTTGTTCTTCTCAACTGAGTACATTTTTTAATCAACTTAATTATTTTTTTAACAATAAATCACAAAATTTTGGCCATTTAAATCATAGATAAATGTAATATAATTGATTTAAATATTGTCAAATATCAGAAACAATAATATCACAAAACGCAACACATAATACACTTTTTTTCACAGAAAAATGTATTATATTTTAGCAAAATTTTGGAATACGTTTAAGTCGTAGAATAATTTTAACAGTTG